GCCAACCTTGGCAACCTCCTGAGATCCTGTCTCAAAACAAACAAACAAACAAAAAACAAAAACAGCGCTGAGGGAGCCGGGCGGTGGTGGCGCACGCCTTTAATCCCAGCACTCGGGAGGCAGAGTCAGGCAGATCTCTGTGAGGTCGAGGCCAGCCTGGTCTCCAAAGCGAGTTCCAGGAAAAGGCGCAAAGCTACACCGAGAAACCCTGTCTCGAAAAACCAAAAAAAAAAAAAAAAAACAGCGCTGAGGGACAGCAGAGAAGCCTGTCTTGCTCAGATAGGAGGTTCTACCCAGGAGGTACTGGGTACAGAAGCAATAACAGTGAGTGGCAGGCTTTCCATGAGCATACGCACACAGACAAACACAGACAGACATTCTCTCTCTCTCTCTCTCTCTCTCTCTCTCTCTCACACACACACACACACACACACACACACACAGGTATCCAAACACTGGCACATGCAAACATGCAGAGGTGCACACAGGTGTACATAAACTGATATTCAGAGACACACATGAGCATTCACAGCAAGCATGTACTCAAAGATGCACATAAGCACGCTGACATATATAGGGTTCACATCCAGGCACACAGATACACAGGTACATGCAGGGCTTTGTACACAGAGACACACAAGCATACGTGCATAAACAGCTTCTCACAGATGCACACAGACACTGACAGGTAAGCAGGCACACAAGTGTAAAAACCTTGCACCTGTGGTCACATATGCGGATGATAAATGCACACCCAGAAATGCACATAGCTCTGGCTCACCAGAGCCTGGAGTGTTGACCAGCGAGGCACCTGGGCTCTGGGTGGTGCACAGGCCAGGCTAGGCATAGTCCCAGCTCTGACATGAGATACCCAGGAGTCAGCAAGATCTGTCTCCTCTGTTTCCCAAGCTTTAGACCACTTCACAATCACCAAGAGGTCTGGAGGCTTCCCCCTCCCAACCCCCAGAGGCCTGACATACAACAGATATTTGATAGATCATTTTGGACTGAACCGACTGCTAGAAGTCATAATAAGAACACACTTAGTCCAGAATCCACTGCCTGTTTTCCTGGTGGTGTGGTGACAAAGTCCGCAGTCTTGGATTTCTGATGTCTCCTACTTCCCAAGACAATGTCCATCTACCACACCACCTCTCCCCAACAGAGAGCTCACCCCTCCATTTCTCTTCTCAGACCACACAGGGTCCAAGAAAAGCCTGTGCCCGCTTCATCCAACCAACCTCAGGAGCCTCCAAAATTGGAGTCCTGGACTGGAAATTCCTAGGAAGGTGTCTGGGACACACAGCAACCAGGATTTCAGAGCCCCAACCACCTCATGACCCTCAGCTTCTGCTCTGGAGATAGACCTGCCCTATGCAGAAGTTGAGACTTTTTGCTTTGGACCATCTGTCCTATAACCCATTGAGAGGACAATACAATGCCCCCCACACACACACAGGTACTTTCACAGGCCTCAGTCTCAAAGCCTTATCCTGCCCTAACATCGAAGAGAGTAATGTGACGTGGTACTTAGCAGACTCCAGGTCCAAGGCCTCCGTGTATAGCTGGCCCTTCCCTGCAAGCTGTGTGTAACTCAACTGTCCCCTGGAGTTGGTGTGAGGCCTCATCACTGGGAGCAATGGGTATATCAAAGAGAGCTCAAATATTTAGGGACAGCACACACACTCACACTGCAGATAGCTTTCTTCTGATTAGCAGACAAAGCCAGCCACTGGCTGCCTCTCTATCTTTCTGGCTACATCAGAAGGTGAGGCTGAGATGGAGTCTCATGAGCCCATTGGCACTAGGGCCCCTTCTTCCAGGTCCCTGAAGAGCCTCAACGGGCACCCGCTGATCTGAGAACATGTGGGCCCAATGGGTACAAGAATCAGAGTGACGTGGATTGCTAAGAGAGTTCTGGCAGGGTGAGCCCTGCCGGGGTCCTGCGCCTGTCTGTTGTCTGCGCATGCGCAAGGGGACTGGGGGAGGCACTCCCGTCAAGGGAAAGGCGCCCAGATGGGGGATCCAGAAGACACTAGTAGGCGCGCTGCCCAACGTCCGTGTGGCTAACCAGTACAGGGGATCCTACTACCGTTAGGGCTTCATGCAAAAGAATCAGAAAGCAGGCCAGACTAAAGCTGGCGCCCACCCGGCAGACAGAGCAGTCACCCGCACAGGCAGAGCAAGAGCAGCAAGCACCAGGGCAGACAGGTTGGGCTACCAAACAAGGTGCTGCTCCCCTGACTGGCCCTCGGAGGGGAGCAACAGGCTTCTCCAAACCGCTCTGTGTGTACAACAAAAATACCGTGGGGCATTCCAGGGGTGGGGTCATTCCACACTGGCTGCTGACTCTGGTAATGCCTCCTGGTTCTGAGTCTTGGGAGGAGGAACAGGTCATGGGTTATAAGAAAGGCTAAGTGACAAGAGTGTGTCAGGCCTAAGGATGCTGCGACAATAGACGGCAGCTTCCTCTGCTTCCCAGGCTCCTTTCTTGATCACTCCCAACCCCTGGCCCTTCTGGCTTTCTTCTACCCAGTCTCTTGCCTCAGGACCCCCATCCCTGGGGATGTAAGGATTGCATCGTGCAGTCTCCTGAAGTCCTCACTCTTTTCGGTCCCTTAAATCATGACTGACAAGTGGGCATGTACACACCTTATCACTGCAGCTGGATTTGAATATTTTTAGGGGGCACTGAGATAAGTCCAACTCTGTAGTCTAGGCTGGTCCTGAACTTTCAGCAATCCTCCTGTCTCTACACCCGAAGTGCTGAGACCACAGACACATACCACCAGGCCCAGCTTGCGTACACTTCTTAATTGTAGTCGCCCCCTTCCTCCACACTTGGATTTACATGGTCTGAGACAGCTCAGGCAGAGTGATCCTTGGAGAGCCACATGTCGGGCACTTCTAGTGACTGCGACCCCCATGTCATAGAACAAGCGATGGCACAGCAGACTGGAGACCAGGAGCCAGCTTCCTAACTCTCCAGAAGGACTAGAATTCTTATGAGGAAGCTAGGAATGCCCTCATAATGGTGCCGCCTTCTCCTGCCAGCTACCCTGAGTCCTCAGACAAAACGCCCCTTGCCACTGTGTCCTCCCCCCGGGGGGACATAAAGGAAACAAGGACAGTGACTTGGGGCCTCCTGACCAGTGGCTCTGTCTGCCTGGTCACTGTTCCCCTTGCTCAGCATTTACTCAACAACCAGCAGATGGTGCAGAAAATGTGCCGGCCGGCCCCTAAGCCGGCTCTAAGAGCAGGCTTGGCATGTGACCGACAGAGAGCCAGGGCAGCATGCTCAAAAAGGGACCGGAGCTAAGCTCTCCATCTGAGACATGGTTTTCCAGGTGACACCACCTTACCTTACATTTGCAGCTTGCAGGAATCACCCCATCTTTATCCAGTTACAAAACCCGTGTGTCATGAAGCTGATGGCCTGGATTGGTTTTCAAGTTTAAAAGCAGCGCTCAGCTCAGACAAGCCACGCCCATTACCCCTGGACTGGAAAATACACTGACCAAGAGGACCACTAAGAAGGCTCAAAGCAGAGACCCAATATATATATAAAATATATATATATATATTATTAAATATAATATATATATATACACACACATACATACTTCGCTAAATATTACATCTGATTGGAGGAGGGGTCAAGGGTCTCATGCTGTAGCTCAGGCTATCCCGGAACTCATAGCAATCTTCCTGGCTTAGCTACCCAAGTGCTGAGATTACAGGTATGAACCACCACACCTAACATGTCTGGTCTCTTTCCTCCTCTCTTCTTTAGTTTCCTTTAGACTCCCTACAGAGTCTCATATACCTCAGGGTGGCCCCAAACTTGCCATGCAGCTGAGGCTGGCCTAGAACCCCTGATCCTCCTGCCTCCACTCATCAAGTACTAGGATTTCAGGTGTGCACCAACATAGCTGGCATTTGTTAGTCAAAAATATTTCTTCCGAATTTTCGGTCGGCAGTTTCTACCATGCAAGGACAATTCTGCCCCTCGGCGGTCAGACCCATTGCTCACGGCACCACTGACCTGCACCCCAGCAAGAACAATTTTTTTTTTCATCAAAACATTTTCTTTGGAAAAACAGAGGTACTGTTCAAATGGTTGCTTGCACGGCGCCCCTGCCAAGGAGACACTTAAATCACCCCCATCGGGTGACACAGTTAGAGCTTGCCCCCTGGGCAGAGTACTAGTAAAAATGGACAGTTTAGTGCCCGGAAAGCTAATGGGAACTGGAGAAGGCAAGGATAACGCCGCGGTGTCATTACGCCTTTGTGAAATGCTGGACCTGGTATTTGTAAAGCCTCCTGCAATCACTGTACTCTCATTAAGTAAAGACACAGCCACAGGAGCCCTCCTGCAATCCTTCAGCTTATTAACTACAGGTCTCATAAAATGAAGCTGGTGAGCCTGTAAAAAGAGCCCAGGTTCAATTTTATGGCTTATTTCTTGGGGCTTCTCCGATGAGCTCAGACAGCACGCCTTAAAAAACCTCCTGCAGCTGGGGCGCTAGCTGGGTGTGCCACCAGACAGCCCTGGTGAAGCAATCCTGTGGAATGAGTTACTAATTCACAGTACAGTAGGGCTCCTAATCCCAAAGGTTCAAAACATCTCATCAAAACCAAGCCCGCCCCACCACTACTCCCAACAGGCCGTGTCTGGGGCCCCAAAGTGGGGCCAACACGCAGATGGCCTTCCAGGCTATGGGGTAGGTGTCTTAAGATGAGCAAGGGAGACAGGGCAAACGAGTTCAGGCACCCCTTGCATCAGCACCGAATACGATGTGCACAGAAGACTCCGGGTACCCGGTGGGTCCTCCCTACTTTCGGGAACAGAGTGGGGTCACCTGCGATTAGAGTCCGAGGATAGGATGGCCCCAGGACCCGCGCCTCGCCCCCACCCTCTCCACCTGCGGCTGAGGAGACCTGTCCCTGGCCGGAGGATGGAGGACGACCCCGGCAGGTGAGCGTCTCTCGGGACTCACCTGCGTGAAGTATAAGTTCATGAGCGTGAGGGTGAAGAACTGCAGACACACGGGGAAGCAGTAGAGCAGCCAGAAGACGAAAGGGCTGAACGAGTTGGCCGCCACGAAGTCTCGGAAGTAAAAGGAGAAGAGCACAGTACGCAGCGAGGCCCAGAAGAGGCAGAGGAAGAGGAAGACGCTCTGGTAGCTGAGCCGCTTGTGGCGGTAGCGCAGCACCAGCCAGAGCTGCGCGTAGATGAACACGAAGAGGAGCGCGTAGAAGGCGGTGTAGACGGCGGTGAGGCCGAGCTTCACATAGGGCGGCACGGCCGGGCTCAGCGTGGGCGGCAGCGAGTCGTTGCGCACCGGCTCCCACGGAGGCGGCTCCATCGGGCTGGGGCCGCTCGGGCTTCATCGGGGCTCGCAGCCGTCCGCTGCCGGGTACCCGCGCATCGCGCCGCACCCGCCGCTCCAGAGCCCAGCCGGGAAAACAAGCCGCACTTCCTCCCGCCGCACCACATGATCTGCTGGGCGGCCTTTGTCTGCGATTGGCAGCGCCGCGCCCCCAGGAGCGCGCGCCCGCACCCGGCCCGCCCATCTCGGCCCTGCGCGCCCCTGGTGCGCGCGCCCCGGGGACAGCGGCCCTAGAGCTAAAGCCGGATCGGTGCTCGCGTGCGTGCCAAGTACCCTTGTGACTGTGCTCACCCACGGCCAAGACAAGGGATGATCCTCAAGCCGGCTCACAGCGCCTCCTAACCGGCGTCCACACGCCTCTCGGGATCCCAAGGCTGGGGCTGGAGAAACATCTGTGCCCCCCAACCCGTGCGCTCCCCATTATCCCGCGGCTGGGGATGGGGGTGGGACTGGGAACATCCACGTCTGGGATCCATGTGTTCCCCCAAGATCCCATCGATGGCGCTGGGGAGCATCCGCGTGCCCCTGCACTGTGCGCCCCCTTATAGCACGCACCCCTTATAGCACGCACCCCTGATCAGTGCATCTCTTTAACTTCTCGCGCGGTCTAGTGACGGAGGAGATCTGTGCCCCTGACCTGCGCATACCCTCTCTCACATGCAAACTATGCGCTCCTGATTCCACTAAACGCTTGCGCGCTCCAGTTGTGGGAGTCTGCGGTTGGTGTTTCGTTGGGGGTGTGGCTTGGGGGCGTGTCTGCGCGCTTGACCTCGCGTTTTTCTGCTGATGCCTGGTTTTTGCACTTCACTCTTTTATTTAAAAACCAAACCACTTTGCAAGTTCCTTCTCCCGTACACCCACGCGGTCACCCGCCTTTAAAAATAAAATTGTGACCACGAGCTGGCCAGCTTCTGCAGCGCCGCTGAACTCTAAATGCAAATGGTCAAATGGTTGCAGTCTCGCTGGTCTGCGCTGATTAACCTCTGCTTTTAGACCTAGCTGCAGTATTCTCCCAGAACACCTAACTGCAGGCGGTAGTGCGGCTGCGCTCTTGTCCCCAGAGCAGAGGAGCACTAAGGGTTAGGTGAGACAAGCGCAATTTGATCCACCCAGATACCCTGTCCTTCCTCTCAGCTGCTGCTGCTCAGAGGTTCTCTCCTCTCAGGTAAAGGTGACTCAGTTTATTCCCGACCCTGCGCCACACTGCCTATTTTATAGTGGTAGTGTTGGGAGTTGGTAACTTCTGAGCTCTTAAGAAACCAAGTTGTCTGTAAGCAGGTGTAGCTAAGGAAGCAGTTAGGATAAGCAGAAGGAAAACGCGGATTTTCCAAGAGACAGTTCCATCTCTTCTGATTCCCTTTCTCATTTTTTTTTGATTAATATTCAATGTCGTTCCTAATTGCATATTCTTTTAGCTTAAAAAGCCAGGCCTAAGGTGAAGCTGGCTTTTCCTTAAAATTGGGATTTACACACTCTCTCCCAACTAAACAAGGTCAACGTGCCTTCAGAGTCGAGTCCCTTATCTGATTCTAATCTTTCCCTGTAGATGCCGAGCTGGTCTGCCTCTTCTGAACTGATCCACCTCAGTGGGTTCTGCACAAAACAGATGACTCTAGCTTTCTAAATCACATCTGCCTGTTATTCTCAAGCTTGAGTCTAACTGCACCTTCTCAGGATCAGGACCCCCTCACCGAGCTCCCGAGGAAGGGTGAAGAGTGCCAACGCCTGGCAACTCGCTGAGTCCTTTCCCCTCTCTGTATGGGCTCATTTCCTCCAGAAACTGTTTTCAAGACAGGTCTCAATTTGTAGCTCAGGCTATCCTGGAACTCACTGGGCTTTGAGCTCAATCAAGACCACCCTACCTCTACCTCCTGGAGCACCAAAGCACTTAATAGACCACAACATCTACCATGTGCTGGCCACTTAGGATAAATGTTCTGTGTCTTTCCAGAACATCTCTGTCTAATTGGCAGTCATCTTGACATCTGTGAAGTTTCATTGGGATAGAAATATTGTCTTGTTTACTATTGGCTCTCTTGGCACATTGTAGAAACAAGTCTCCATTTTATTATACTGAAGGAATATAATTTGTCCTTAGAAACCAACCTCTAAAATTTGTCCTATATTATGCAAGACTATCTCTTGATCCAAGGTGGCTGCTTGCCCTCGAACTATTGTGTCCACAGCCCATGCAGGCATCAGAAAAAAACAGAGAACTGAAGAGTACTTTATCTGTCTTGTTTATGAAGTCATCCCAGAAATTATGTACATGCATCTGACTTCTACTCATTAATAGACTTTGATTACCTTAGTAAGCTAGCTACAGAAGAGGCTGACTGATATTAATCATTCTGTGTGGTGCTGTACAGTTCTGACAGTCCTACTTCTGATATTATGGATGAAGGGAGAAGGAACTGAGAGAGGAACAATCCATCTACACCACATGTTCAAAAGAATGCCAACAATAGCTAGGCATGGATGATGCTTAATATTGATTGTTGACTTGATGGGATCTACAGGCAGCACACTTCTGGGCATGTCTGTGAAGAAGGTACTAAGTTGAGTTAACTGTTGGGAAGGCTCATCCTAAACATGGATGGCACCATTCTATGAGCTGGAGGCACAGGCTGTAAAAAAGGAAGAAGGTGAGCTGAACACCAGCATTGGTCTATTTCTACTTCTTGACTATGGATGCAATGTGACCAAATGTTTCACACTCCTTCTGCCATGGCTTCTCTGCCATGAGAGTCCCTATCCTCAAACTGTGTGCCAAAGCAAACCCCTCCTTAAATTGTTTTCATTGGGTATTTTTCCATAGCAGCTAGAAAAGTAACTAACACAGATGGTTGCTTTTATTAAATATTAAGATGACTATCACTAGTTGGTCCTGTAAAAAACAGTAGAAGAAAACAGATGGAAAAGCATGACTACTTCAGACAGATATGAGCCTACCTAGGACATGGCAAGGACAAGCTAAAGCAGAACTTAGAGTCCTTATTGCACAGACGGTCCTAAAGCTCAGGATGGTGTTAGTGACTCCTCACTTGGAGGCGCACCTTTAGGTTGTTTATGTGTTGTGGATGAACCCCAAGGTCTGGTGAGTACTAGGAAAGTGATCTGACTTTGACCCACAACCCCAGTCCTCCCTACCTCTCTACCAGGTCCCTTGCTGTAGCCCACTGGGTTTCCTAGTGGCTGGACCCAGCAGGACTGCATAACAGGTTGATTGGACCACGGGCCTGAGTATCAGATGTTTGGAAGGGTCTACACTTGACTGTTACTAGCAAGGGGGAGGTCTTTTGCTCCACCCCTTGACATTATTATAAATAGACCTTTGGAATAAAGTTCAGGGCCAGTGGATAAGGATCCAGGCCCACTTGAGTCTATCCTGCATTTCTCTCTATTTCTAACTTAGTCTCTTATTCCTCATTCCTCAAGAGTCCCTAGGGAAAATAAATGTGGGGGCTGGTCTGTGGTGGTATTGTGTTCCCCAAAATATTGTGTACCTTAATAAACTTACCTGGGGTCAGAGAACAGACAAGCCACTAGTTAGGCAGTGATAGCACACGCCTTTAATCCTAGCATTCCAGAGATAGAAATCCCTCTGGATCTCTGTGAGTTTAAGGCCACATTGGAAATAGCCAAGCATGGTGACACACACCTTTAATCCCAGAAAGCCAGCCTTTAATCCCAGGGAGTGGTGGTAGAAAGTAGAAAGATATATAAGGCGTGAGGACCAGAAACTAGAGGATTTTGGCTGGCTAAGCATTCAGACTTCTAGCAGCAGTTCAGCTGAGAGCCATTGGGATGAGGACATAGAAGCTTCCAGTCTGAGGAAATAGGACCAGCTAAGGAACTGGCAAGGTGAGATAGCTGTGGCTTGTTCTGTCTCTCTGATCTACCAGCATTGACCCCAATAACTGGCCTCGGGTTTGATTTTATTAATAAGAACTTTTAAGAATCCTGCTACACTGGTCCCCCACAGTCCCTTGTCAGGGGGATCCTCATGAGGGTCTTAGCTTGTGAGTGTTTGCCCTTGGATGTGCCACTAGTGGGAGGGCCATTTCCATGGCTGGATGTCATCCACTCACCACCTTTCACTCATCACGTAAGCACAACCCTTGATCACCACTGTCATCAGAGCAAATATGGTCATCGTAATAATGACTGTCATCCCCGTCATCAGAGAAAACATGGTCATCATAATAATGACTGTCATCACCATCAGCAGCAGCAGCATAGTCATCCCCATCACCGTAGTCAGTACTGTCGTCCCAACTGTTACCATCATCATAGCCTTCACTGTCACATTAGTCATCACAGTCTTCTAGTCGTCACTGCCATCACAGCCGATACCATCATCATAGCCTTCAAAATCATCATAGTTATCACCAATATATCCCATCATCATAATCATAACCACCACAGTCATCATAGCCACCACAGTCATCATAACCACCACAGTCATCATA